CGTCGTCCGCCGCGTTCCTCGCGAATATAATTAGCGGCGGCTTTTCCCTGGTAGATCGAAAGAGATGAATAATAAATTCGACGGCGCTTCGTAACAGCCGCTTCCTCGGCAAAGAATAGCCGACGGGGAATTTTCTCCCACGCACGCGATAATGGAATCGATTTAGCTGGGTGCACCGATCCAATTAACTCGCTCCTTTGCGTCGTCACGGCCGATAAACGTGCCGCGTGAAAAATTACGCAACCTTTTAACCGCGCGCGATTGTCGCGGATTTCTTCACTCTCGTTCGCGTATACGGATTCATCCGCCGATTGCGGCTTTGCGCGATTGTGCCAATTACACACATCCGCTTTCACTGATCGATTTAATAATCCGATCAGGCTGGCGAAGGAGTGCAGAGAAATGAAAATTCAAAGCGGAGTTACGATGGCGATCTCGAATGGATTTACGACACGAGATTTGTTTTAAGAATTGAATTGTCAAAATTGAATCGAGAATTGAGAAGGTGACGGGACGAATTTTTTACCAAGAAGCCAAGTTGGAGAACTTACATCATTTTCTGTATTTTCTGTATCGTTGCATTATTAAAAATCATCTAAAAAATTTCGGATCTCCTTTCTCTTTTTTTTTTCGAAATATCGCTCAGAATCGATGCGGTTTCTTTACGAGAGACGATCTTATTCCGATCGTTCCGCCCCGCGTCAGGTTTTTGCCGGATACGTTCGTTCCACCACGTAACGGATGGACCCGGTTGCGCCAGCTCGCGATCACCGCCGGACTCGTCACAGGCCATTGCCTCGCGATTACGGACCTCCCTACCTTCGCCTTCTACGCCGCTCCGTCCGATTGCACGCGTTCGGCATTATCGTTTTCTTCGAGGGAAAGTGAACGAAGTGCGACGCAATAATGCTTGCGCGCCGGTCGGCCTGGCCTGACCGGCCGCAACGCTGCCCGGTGAATATAATGGTGATTAATTTCGCGATTATCCGCGAAACTTCTTTCTTCCCACGGTCGCCGCGACCCATCCTCCGGGATGGCATGCCAACGTACGAAAAATCCCGGCGGCGCTTCGGATGTGCTGTCTATTGGTGAGACTCAATGATCAATTTGTTGAAATTTAAGATAGGGGTTGTGAGAAAATTATGACCGATACATGTGATAAATAATTCATAAATAAAGTACGGTCGCGCAGCTATTTCAAACTTAATAGAAAATATTTTATTGGCATTTGACATTGAGCTTGAAATTTTTTTACTCCATTTGCCGTCCGGCCGTTTCTCAAGAACCTCAGTTTCGAGGCATGTCTTTCCCTTTCTTTATAGAACGGAATAGCAGTCTGGCGGCGCAGAAAACGATGGGAGGGGGGGTTGTCTCTTAAGCCGCACGTTGGCAGGCATTTGCGCTACGGTGGTCTCACTCGTCCTACCGTGTAATTAGAATCGAACGCGGGCCGGAGATCGGCATGTTTTGCAATAAGAGCGAAATATCCGTTTCGCCGCGATCGCGCGACTTTACGACGGCAAACGAAAGTTTCAGAACGGCTCGAGACGGTGCTCTAAATCAAGTTTCGCTCTTTTATCTGTAACATTTAATGTTTACGTAACTCCAGTTTAAAATGCGAAATTTAATTTAAGAAAGAACTTTTTATACAAGTACAGGTAAATTCAAATGCAAAAAATTGCACATTTTAAAAAGATGTCTCACGAATGCATATATAATTCATGACTAATTAAGAGCAAGAAGAAGTCAGCGCCGTACTCTCTCTCTCTCTCTCTCTCTCTCTCTCTCTCTTTCTCTCTCTCTTTTGATAAGCGTTTTTAAAAGTTAATAAAAATATCTTTTTCGAAGGTATTTGAATATTACGCTGGATATTTATAGCGCGTAGACACGAAAAGCACGAAGCTGACAGGGCCGACTAAAAATCGAACAGTAATATATCCGTGCCAGTCGCAGTTTCTCGCGATGATGTATATATGGTCGCAATTTACTGAATTTTTATTTCACGGGATATGCCATGCCATCATTCCTATCATCGATGCTGACGCGCTGTCCTCGGCGTTTTGCAACAACGGGCCGAATGGAAGATTGAGAATCAGACAGGAGAGTCGTGAGTCACGACTCCGGGATCGTCTCCGCTTGCCAACGGCATTAAATCGCTGTTTAAAAAGACACAACTGTCTGCAATTACTCGCGTTCGCGTGCGGCGGTATTTTGCAAATTGCAGACGCAACCGGTCCGCCGATTGGCGAACCATCGCTAACAGCGTCACGGATGTGTGACTCATTGCCCGTCGTCAACAAATAGATAGCACGGTCGATAGCGTTTAAGCAAATATAACGGTATGATCGGGCTCGAGCAGACAAGGGCGCGGATCGTGAGTCTCGTAAGTCGCCTATGTTCAATCTCCCTCGCGTTATAAAGCCCGTCAGAAACTTCTGCGTCAACTTTTGCGCTCTATATCGGTATACCAAATCTAGTATATTTGGTAATGGCACTTATGACGTGATCTAAATAAATACCGAAGCGCTTCCAAATTTACCCGACAACTCACAGCCTCGAGTTGTCGGCCGTTTCGAAATCGCTTTTGCATCTTGCGTGCACCACGAGCAGCTCGGCCGCGGAGGAAGCGACGTCCGAGGGGCCGAAAAAATCTCCGTCCGAGTTCGAGTGTGACTCATCACACTCGAGAGATTTCAACGCGTGTGTTTCCGCGAGCACCGGTATTTCTGGCTGGTGGCGTATTTGTGTTACAACGCGCAAAAACTGCACAACTGGACTGGAGCGACGGCGTCATCTCGTTGCACAGAGAACGCGATGTCGGAGATATGTGATTCATATCATGTTCAAGTCATATAGAGCCTCCTTAGATGTGTAGATATATATGTAACGTTCTTTCTTGACAGATCAATTAAAATCGATTGGATCAGCAATGAGTTGATTTCTGCAAACAACTTGTCTTAATCTCGACTACTTCGTCTCGTGTAAAAATATAAGAAATGAATATACATTTTTAATTTACATCTTATGTACCTTTTTCAACTTTCCTTTTTCTATATTTTTGCAAATACCGAGTCTGTAATGACGCAAGTTTGTATCCTTCTGACGCAAGATATTTTTGTGCGGATATCAATTAGAGGAATTGCAATTCAAAATTAGACATGACGCATAATTTGGATAATATAAGATATTGAGATTAGTCGGCTTTAAATTGTTTAAATGATTTGCGATTAATCGGTATCTGGATGGCCAAATATTGTTGATTATATCGGGATGCTCTGATAAAATTAATTATTCGAATCGCGTATACCCGGAAAAGTTTCTTGTCCCGCCCTTCATTGTCAAATATTGTGTCTATTGTTCGTTGGCTTTCCAGGGACTTTGGGGATCGGTGAACTGTAGACCTGCGGGCGCATGCTGGCGATCGGTCGATGAGTAACCATAGGAAACCAAGGCCGTGCTTTCCAACTCGATATACCTCACCGATATCGAACCCTCTTGTGCGCGAAAACACGTTGTTTTCTATGATATGTTTTACATATTTCGTTTGACAATCGAAAGTAACTTGGAGATTTATCAGTTTTTGCTGAATAATAAAACATTCGAACTTTATCTTATACTATATTTAAAACGAAAGTATGACATAAAAGTTCAGTGCTGTCAATACGGATCTACAACGTCATTTTGTCGTAAATATTTAACATTAGCTTGAACCCGAATGGTTTGAACCTGAGCAATAATTAAATCATGATGCGCTTGTTGTCACAACGATACTTTATCATTAGAGTTAGACTGCATCTGCGTTAATCATGCTTTATCTTATCTTATCGTTATCGATCATTGTTTCATGCAGGAAATACTTAATCATGATTGTAACACGATATGTGCTGATCCCAGTTCGCGATTACGGTGTCACGAACACATTCAACAATATACTGAAACCGACGAATGTTGAAAGAAAACAATCAGAATTATTTAAAAAACAAATCATCGACAAAGAGAAGAACTAAAGTATTATCTCCGTACTTTTATGGGATCTTATTACACTCCGTAACACGATTGCGCAATGTCGCTTTTTTTATTACGGCTAATTAACAGGATTGCCTCACTTAAATGGAGTTAATTAACGCTAACGCTTCATTTAGAATCTGCCCGCGTTTTTCGATTGTTACGTTTTATTACCGGCGCTGCGGAGCGCGTTATCGAGCATCAGGTTGAGAAACTCCACGTGGGAACAAAGCGATTCGCGTGTATGGCCATCGCTTTGCCGTGTGTGCCCGCAACGAAACCAATTCTCGCGTCGTGTCCTTTTGTTACGCACAGAAGCATCGTGTTCGCACCTTTGTCTGCGGAGATTTTTCCAGACGATCTTATATATGTACGCCGAAGTATAAATATTTCAATACTTCTTCTCTCATTCTCTCTCTCTCTCTTTTTTAATTCCGATCTCCTTCTTTATATTTGCAATCTGCTTCTCTTTGTTCGCTTTAATCCGCGATAATTCGATAATTAAAAAAAGAAACGCTCGCGACGTACTTTTTTCTTAACTTCATCTTGGAAAGCGTCTGGTCTTTAAAGAAAAGGAAAGTGAGGTAGTTGGCTAAACGGTCAAATTGTGCGTCTAATTGTATGTTAATAAATTTGTAAGCTCCTTTCACCGAGTTCTCAAACTTTATCTATCTGCACCATCTCGATCTCGTTGTGCGTAGGTCTGGACGTTGAGAAAAGTAAATTTATGTGCGCTGACTCACGCCGCGGGTTTCTTTTTTTCTTCTCGGTTCACCGAATGACGTTTGCGCACGATGTAAGACGTTAGTTTCGTGAAAGGAATAAACCATCAGCGGGTCTTTGTGCCAGGATCCTTTTAAATGCTAAAATGACGTTTCGGAGCCGAGGTCGCGGAAACTTGCGTCGAGTCGGCGCAGGCACAAAATTATTCGAAAGACATAATTCATGGTATCGCGATCACTAATCGCTCCGAAACACGCTCTTTTTTTGCGCAGAGTTTGGAGCAGGAAAGGCACCTACTGCGAAGGAGACTCGAGGAGGCCAGGGATGAAAGCGAGGCGAGGGCCTTGGAGCTCCAAGCGGACGTGGAGACCCTCAGGAGCCAGTTGGAGGAGCAGAATGAGAGGGCGAGGAGAGCGGAACGCGACCAGGCCACCCTCGTCGCGGAGCTGACGGCGCAAAACACGAGGCTGGCCGATCAGCTGAGGGAAGCCGCCAAGCAGGAGGAGCAGTTGCTCGTGGAGGTGAAGGTGCTGAGGGAAAAATGCGCTCTCAGGAACACCACCCTGCAGGATCACGTCAGCAGCCTGGAGATTCTCAGGGACGAGGTATAGACATGAATTTTTAATCACGATCGTATCATACATCATCCAAGGGCGTGCATAATATAACTCCTTTATGCACGTGAAAACTTGATTTATTTCCCTCTATTCGTTAATGTTACGAGTTTTTCTTGCCGCGGTGTTTCCTTCTCGCCTAATTGATCTACCGCGTGGAACGGAAACTGTCGTTATTAATGATTATCCATCGGAAGCCGAATGCGGTTCTCAGGCGGGGCTGGCATGGAATAATTCGCAGCATCCTTTTTATTATAAAAAGGAAGCGCGGTAATCGTTGCTCGTGTTCGCACGTGAATTTATGCGCACAATCTCTGGGAAAATTCTATCATCGAATAAAAATGAACGTGACCCTCGTCGGTCGGCTCGATTTGCCTCGTTCCGGCGATCTTTCACCTCGCCTTTGTAATAGCAACCGGATGTCGACTCTCAGGAATCACTCGCGATTTACGTAGGAGGCTTATCGAATTAGAAGTGTACAGAAATAAATCAGTGTAAGATGCATTTCGCGAGCTACGATTACTGTGTTTTAACATTTTGCATTTTATATTACCCGTACACTTTATGTTTCTAATTTTAAATCAAACAAAGAAATGATAGACGAATCGCGATACGAGAAATCATTGTTAGTATGTATCATGCATGTCGTAAATCTCGCACGCGACGTTTCAGGTACAACTGGTATCCGCACAAAGGACGGAGCTAGAGAGGCGGTCCTTGGAGCTGCGCGAGGAGAGGGCCAGGGCGGTTGCGGCCCTCGAGGAAGCCGAGGAGAGAGCCGCGGCCTTGGAGCGACTCGGCCACGAAGCGGAACACCGTGCGAGAATGGCCGAGCAGGAGAGGTGAGGCCAGAATCTGTGATATGTGGCCATTATGGCCACGGTTAATACGCGGAGACAACGCTCGATTGAACACGATCCACCCACAGTTAAATCTTTCCGGATTCCACATTCCCAAAATCCAACCCCTCGTGACGGTCGCATCTTCATCGAGTAAACGCGGGATATTAAGCGGACAATATCCAGCAAACATCAAGTGATATACAACTTATATAGTTTACTTACATTGCTAGTTATAATTTCCTATTCAACAAATCCACAATATAACGCTGTATGATACATACATTGAATTTACATTGTTGAGTAGGAAATTATAACTATCATGTAAATTGCATGCTACTTATTGGTGTTTGCTGGCTATCATTCGTCATAATATGGTATTATCTGTTCGATATTATTTTCTGCAGTATCTATTTTGTACCTACTTTACATATGAGGTATTAAAATACGTCGGTCACATATATTGAAACATATTTATTACCTTCAGGGACGAGCTGGCGTCGGCGTTAGCGGCTATCGAGGCAGAAAGGAGAGCCCGGTCCGGCTCGATACAGAAACCACCGCGATCTCTGCAAGCGGAGATGGAGTGCGAGGAGAGCAGCTTGCTCGGGGAACAGGAAGACGGAGGTCTGAAGACGGAAGTGGCGAGGGCGACAAAGCGACTGAGGGAGTTGTGCGCTCACTTGAGACGTGGCGAGGACGACTCGGGTCTGCAAAGCGATTGCGACGAGTCTATGCTGGTGATCAATCTCAACAACTCCGAAGCAGAAGTGAACACCAACGAACGAGAGAGTCGCCACCCATCGCCAGTGAGTAATCCTCTTTATCGTTTATTTCTTATTACAAGTATATAACGTTAGTTTTAGTTATCTAATCGAACAAACGCCTACGTATAATCTATTTATCCGTCTTATCATCTTTTTCGCAGACGAATTGTCCAGGTGCGCTGGTAGAGCTGGTCGAGGAGGTTTACAACCTCGCGTTGTCGGGGAGGGGGGCACCAGGAGAATTGGGATTGGCAGTGGAGCTTCACAGAGTGCGGGAAGAACTGGAGAACTCTCGGGAGCAGTGCAGGATACAGGAAGAGGAGCTGAAGCGACGCGGCGACGCCGTTCTGGAGCTGACGAGCAAGTTGAGCGTCTGCGAGACTGAATTGCGCGGCGTCAAGGAGGAACGCGACAGGGCGAGAGGCGACATGGAGCATTCCGAGTTGACGAAGGACGAAATCGTGGCGAAGGCTTACAAGGTGCGGGATCAGGCGGTGGCCCGACAGAACAGGGTAGAAGTGGAGCTGGCCAGAACGCGGATAGACATCCTGCAGGCGGACAGTCAGTTGAAGGAGGCGATCAAGCAGAAGGTCGAGCTCAGTCAGCAGCTGGAACAGTGGCAGATGGACATGCAGGCGCTTCTAGACGAGCACGTGCGGAGCAAATTGACCCCGGCCTCGCAGATGGTCGCTACGAAAAACGGCGAGAACTCGGACATGTCGGCGCCGGCCAGGAAGAAGAGGAGCACCGGCTCGACGAAGAAGATGTTCGGTCTGTTTTGACGAAAGTGACGCAGCGCGATGGCTTCGCTGCGTTGAGCTGAGCGATCGCGACTGACGTGGACCTAGACTTCTGATTCCTGTGCAGCCATTAACGGGACGAAGAGAAGATAGCGTGAATTTAGATATATTTACCTTCTCAAGGACCGTTTAGTAGTGCTCAGCCCAGGATCGCCCAGTGGTGACAGTGTTCCAGACATCCTGTGCTCTGCTAAAGCCATCCTAAGTGATGTCACTTGCATCAAACACTTTGCGATGTGTGGACAAGCATCTGGACCTAATCTCAAACTAGCGACTTTGTGTTATTAAAATTAGGAGCTCGAGCCAGACTGGACTCGTGCGAATTTCGGGACCTGTCTCGGCATGAACGTTGAAATATCTCGTTGCATGACGCGTGCGAGAAACGTTGCTCACTGCGGGGAGTCTGTTACATCGGCGCCGATGCTCATGTCGAAACCGTAATTCGAATTTAAGTGGCGTCGCTCGCGGAAACGGGGACGTCCGACTTTCCGCGATTCCTTAACCAGGGAAAGTCGCGGACCGTACTTCCCAAAACGACTCGGCATGCGTTAAATATTATCGCCATCATATTTATCACTTTCGTCTCGATATCCGTGTTTTCTGTCGGTCACTTTTTATCGAGCGGCACGATGTAATCCGGCGGGCTGTAATCATTATCGTTCTCCTCAGTTCGTAGACTGTTCATGCGAAGAATATTAACGGCATAAAATTGTGCGGCTGATCGCTAATGGAGTCAGCGAGATGGACAAGTCTAATTTATCGAAAAAAAGAGAGTCGTCGTTAATGTTCTCTCAGAAATTAAAGTTCCGTTACGAACGACGTCTTTTCTCCTCGACAGATAAATTTTCGACACGTCTAACTGACGTTTCTAGCTCAGGGAAACCTTTCGCGGATGTTCTCCTAATTTTGCTCTTCTATCGCGTTCCTTCGCTCTCGAAAGATCAGAGGGACCATTGGCTGCGATCGAAATCAGACTGGTCACGGTCTCTTGTTTCACGCGGGGAGATATTAATCGTCCGAATGGTGACGAAAGAACGCAAAGGTTTAATGTCCCGGCGAGACTGATTAGGGTCGGCAAAGAGCAGCCCGCTTTTTCTCGCGCGAAAACGCGTCCTGTCATTCTCATCATCGTGGAACGAATCGTTCTTCACGGTAAAAAAACGATCTCCGAGTGGAAATTCCTTATTTCGAAACGGACTCGCGATCAGCTCGATAAATAATGAAACGGAGTCACTCGAGTGCTCCCTCGCTCCGTTTCTTTCGCGACGCGAGGAATATCGAATTCCTCTTGATATGAAATATTGTGATACGCTGTGTCTTACGTTAGAATCGTATGTTGTGCGCCTCATAACACGTTGTGGAAGCGTCACTTTTGTAATAAACACGATCGTATTAGAGAATGAGAAATTAAAATAAATTTTTTTTAATTCGCGAAAATAGTAATTTATAAGAAACCTGCATTTATTGTGTATAAATGTGTATTTAAAGGTAGCCCTACAGGCTTGGATGACTTTCACTATCGAATTAGCCGACGACGAATAATTACTGTCCGTCCACCGTTCCGTCCGACAGGACCAATGAATTGTTCGCGATACAACGAGAAATAACGAGAGAAGGATAATCAAGCGTTTGGAGATGAAAGTCGATCGATCCAGCCGTGATCACACTACAAATCCAAGCGTGTATTTTTACACGCATGAACGTTTAAACATGACATATTTGACTGAAGTTTTTCTTACATGTTTCTTGCGTATTAAATTACGTCATATAATTATATTAAATTGAAAGTTAATACGCTCAATCGTGTTAAATAGTGTGATTTAGAGCCGGTTGTTCCAACCTGTTGGTAAACTATAATTAATAGTTAAATATAGATATGTCTTTGTTCATCCTTTACATTAGATAGGATAGACATATGATTTAACTATTAGTTAGCTTACCAACAGGTTGGAACAACCGGCCTTTAAACGACAAAAAATGTGTTTAGAACTTCAGCTGAAATAACACACTTGGATTTGCAGTGCATTGATATTTTAACGCGACGATGGTGCAATATCACTGGAATATTTTTACGACGATGATATTAATCGAATCGACGACTGCAACCGGATCCTTAAGGATCTCGCAGATAATTGGTCTTGAGGAGCAACGACTGCGATGCGTTTGATGGCACGTGTGTGATCTTTCACGTGTAGACATTACAGGAACACGCGTGCGTTCATCGCACATAGTAAATAATTTGTACATTAATTTCCTTCTTTTCTTTTTCTTCGGAACGAGCGTACCGTTGAAACTGTATGATAACTGTATGATAATTCTCGATCTGATCAACTGCGACGACGATATTTATTTAATAAAAATCTGTTTTGCGAACGTCTTGCGCTTCTATCAGCTCCATTTATCCGTCGACTGATTATCTAATTAACCCTTTGACTGCCATTTTCCTCGAATGATCCTAAAATACCGAAAACCAAGATTCTCGAAAATTAATGAAAGTTTATATAAAGTTTATGACACTGATGACGAATTTCAAGTCAAATTAAAAAATTTTTGTCAAACTTTTATAGCAACTTTTGTAAAACATTTTTTTTTTCAAACATGATTTTAAAATTATGTTCAACACACCCAAAAACTCTTAAATATACTTTGTTTCAGTCATTAATTCATTGTAAAACTTTAATGTAGCAAAATATCTCATGACGAGAAAATGCATTTTTGCGGCAGTAAACGCA